GCAATTGAGAGCCCTGGGGCAGAAGCTGTTCTCCAAACTGGCAGCATTATTTAAGTTGCCATAGGGCTGAAGTCATGATAAAGGAAAGGGAAATCCCAATGAGGAGTCAGTGGCTCCAGAAGCTAAATGAGGTAGAATGTGCATGACTATAGCACAGCTGGGTGCATAGCATGCATGTTCTATTCTTAAAGGACTATATGCATTTAAATTATTTTAATCTTATTATCTTTATTAATAAAAATATACATTAAGAAACTTCAATTTCATGATTATGAGTACCCCCTCAACTTGTGTAGATTTCAAACCACTTAGGCCAACGTGATGATGAGTCTTTCCAAATTTAACTAGACCAATTAAACAATTAATGTGTATTCTCTAAGACTTAGGTTAGGCACCAGAAATCATTGAGATTCATTGTGTGGATAGAATTCCATTCAGACAATGAATCTCCATCCATCACTAGGCTAATGACTTGAAGCCTTTCCACCTTGGTAAGACCTACCAGGACTCCTTTGGTTGTGCCAACTCATAAAAAATGCAAAATGATATAGCACCTTAAGGCTTGCAAAGCACTTTGCAAATATTATCACATTCTAGCCTCACAACAATCTCAGGAGGCCAGTATTGTTATTACCTTCATTTTACAGATGAGGAAACTGAGGCTGAGAGAGTTTAAGTGACTGGTCCAGGGTTACACACTACAATGAACTATGGTCATGGTGCATGACAATGGAATAACTACTTTCCAACTTGGCTGCTACCATTTCCAATATGAGGACGTGAAAATCCCCACATCCATGTGAAAAAAGTTTATGTCATTCTGCATATTTAGTTCATAACTTTTTGGTAATGAGGTGGGTAGCATGCTTTACCATTGGTCCTCTGGAACAATGGTAAGTCATTTCATTGATCAGAATTCTCAGGACAAATGCTATTGATGATAGCTATTTCTCTCAATTCATTGCTGTCTTCTGTGCAGAAAGGAATAAAAGAATGAGAAAAAGAATTAGTATGTGAACAGATTAGATTTTTGTCATTATTGTTCAGTCATTTCAATCAGGTCCAACTCCACTTGAGGTTTTCTTGGCAAAGATACTGCAGTGGTTTGCCATTTCCTTGACCAACTAATTTTACACATGAGGAAACTGAGATGAACAAGGTTAAGTGACTTGCCCAGGTTCACACAGCTAGTAAATGTCTGGGGCAAGATTTGAACTCAGGAAGATGTCTTCCTGACTCCAGGCCTGGCACTCTATCCACTGTGCCACATAGTTGCCCTTATTCTACCTACTGTACCACCTCGCTGCCATAGATTATGCTACTGGGTTTGCCCTGGAGTCCATCCAGTCTTGGACTAAGATCAGGAAAAGATGAAATATGGGAGCTAGACAATGCAGTGGAGAGGATATGAGACTTGAAGGTCTTGCATTCAAATCCTAACTTTTCTCCCTTGTATGATCTTAGACAAGTTACTTCTCTCTAAGCCTCAGTTTTCTCAAGCTAAAAAACAAGGGGATTGAGCAAGAATACATTGAAGGTCCCTTCTGTCTCTTGATCTATGATCCTAGGATCCTCTGTAAAATAAGGACTGGGGAGAATGGGCTAAGTGCTTCAAAGGCACTTCTATGTCTTACATTCTCTGATACAGGAAATTATGATGTGGTGTTTGGGACAAGCCACAAAACATAAAACATGAATTGGGAATAATAGCATCTACTTCTCACGGGGTTGTCGTGTGGCTTGCACATCCATAAAACACTGTGAAAACTTTAAAGTCCTATCAAAATACTACCTAGGGCTGTAGGGTTCCTTGCTCCAAGGCTCCCATGCCTGCTTTGTCAGGATCACTCTCCCACCTGAGTCATGATGCAGTAAGATACAATGGGCAGAGCATAAACTCTGGAATTAGAGGGCCTGATTTTAAATCCCATCCCATATATTTACTACCTGTATGTCCTTGGGCAAGTCATTAGCCTATCTGGCTAACTTGGTTTCCTCCACTGTAAAAGGAGGGAATTGGACTAGATAGTTTGCAATATCCCTGAGAGCTCTAAACCCATGGAATAATGAAGAATTTTGTAGTCAGTATTTCATATAGGGAAGTGATCAATGGGAAGAACATGACGGCTGTTAAGCTGCCCAAAAGCCTCGTGGTAAAGAGACAAGTGTCACTTGCCACATGCTGGGATCCTGGTAGGTACACAAGAAACTCTTGTGGGTTGACAGATGCTTTTCCTGGAAGTCATGCCGAGGATTCAGGAGGCCCAGATTAGGGCATGGCAGAATACTCAGTTTTCAGCATTGTGGAAAGACATTTCACTTTTCCATTTCCCCCCCCTTTAGTTTGTTCTCATAAGTACTCTGGGCTACTTATTATAGGTGGCCAGGGCCATGCCTGGGGTCATTTTAGAACTTCTGATCCTCCTGGCTTCTTTAGCCCTCTTTTCCAAGTCCCATCCTCAGTCTCGGACTAAGCCATCTCGAACCAGTAGCCCCTAAATCTTCTTCCAACAACTGTACTGCAATTTCCCCAAATGCCTGCAGCTGAAGAGCCTAGCCAGGCACATCCCATTTTATCTCTATCTTCCATGCCCTCCAGTTCTGCAACCATGATCAAATTCACTCTGGATCTGGAGGAGTGAATCAATAGATTTGCTTTTTATTTTAGTCACCATCCATGGAACTTTCCAGATCAAAGTGTTTCTTCCTGGACACTAGATGACCCTTTTGGGGGGTTTATAATTTGTGACAGTAGTAGGAAATACCATTTTCCTGTGTGTACTGCATCCCATATTAAAATGTAAGCTTCTTGAGGTTACACACCATAGCCTGGGGACCCTACTTAATAGATGGGAATTTATATAACCTCCTTAAAAAAACCTCCCAAGTTTTTTATGCCTTAGAACCCAGGTCATGGGACTTAGGGTCTTCCCTCTTCAGTTCCTCCTCCCAGATGTGAATGGTACAGGAAAGAGAGCTGGTTTCCCTTGAGACTCTGTTGGGAAGCTGTTAACACATATAGCACTCTCTCTCCCCTTGGGATCTCTTTACCATTGGAAGATATTGGGACATCTCTGGAGTAGCAAGGGAAGCTGTTTTACCTTTGCATGGCCACACCATCACTGATCTTGCTCAAGGTTCAGAACACATTGAGAATAAATTCTATAAAGGCAGAGATAAATAAGATGGCACAATGGAGCAACAGGGTGGCACAGGGATCATGTCTTGGGCATCTAAAGTACTGGGTACTAGGCTTGGCTCGGTCTCCGGTTGTGTGACTTCAGGCAGATTGCTCAACCCTCTGACCCTTGGCTCTATGCATGATCACGGTGAAGTTGTTCTAGGTCAAGGATTGTGGGGCCTGGTTCCCTTTGGCAGTCTGGGAAATCTCATGCAGCCCTCCTCAGAACAAGGCTTTCAAATGCATAAGATGATCTACAGGGGACTAAAAAGAGAAGCCAATCATATTTAAATTCACTTATCAAAATATCATAGACTCCAAGTTGAGAGTCCCTGCTCTGGGTGATCTATCACGTTGTTCTTAGCTCTCAAATACTAGCTGTCAGAATGAAGTTATATGTTTGGGAAGGATTTTGGCATACAGAGCTTTGAGAGTAGCTAGGTGGCACAGTGGATAGAGCCTCAGGCCTGGAGTCAGGAAGACGTATCTTCTTGAGTTCAAATCTAGCCTCAGACACTTACTAGCTGTATGACCCTGGGCAAGTCACTTCAGTTTGTTTGCCTTAGTTTCCTCATCTGTAAAATAAGCTGGAGTAGGAAATTGCAAATCATTCCAGTATCTTTGCTAAGAAAACCCCAAATGGGGTCACAAAGTGTCCAAACATGACTGAACAACAAAAAAGAACTTTGAACTTGGAGTTAGGAGGCCTAGGTTTGAGTACATCATTAAAATTGGAAAGTCCTAATGAGAAGATTTCTTTACTAGGACAGATCAGCCTCTGCTGATTTGTAGTTTATGATCTTGGAGACTAGCCTGGGACACAGAAGTCAGGTGACTTGTCCAGGGCCACACAGCCAGTATTTGTCAGAGACAGGTATTCCCAATTGCAAAGCCAACTCCATCTTTTACGCCAGTCAGCAGACCATCACCACACTGCAAACGGAAAGTGTGCTGTATTCAACCTGCTTATTTTATGTTTCCTAGGGACTGGACGGAGTAGGAAAATATCAGTAGAGGGTAAATTAAGGTAATCATGATCATAAGTCAAGCTCTAACATCAATCAGAATCACACAGTGGTTCTATGGGACATTCCTGGCCTCCAGCATCCTCGTACAGAGAGACTACTACAGCCTCTCCTTGGGACCTGGATCCAAAGATGACAAAGACTCTTGAATGTTTTTTCTCTGGACTCCTTTCAGTGGCATGGGCAGGGTAATGGAGGCTGTTGTTCTTTAGTCATATCTGACTCTTTGTGACCCTATTTAGGCTTTTCTTGACAAAGATACTCAGTGGCCAGCCATTTGCTTCTCCAGTTCATTTTATAGATGAGGAAACTGAGGCTCACAGCAATAAGTGACTTGCCCAGGGTCACATAGTTAGTATCTGAGGCCAGATTTGAATGCAGGAAGATGAGTCTTCCTGACCCCAGGCTCAGGGCTCTGCCCACTGTGCCATCTAGCTTTTCAGGGTAATGGATAGAGGGCCGAATTTAGATTACCAGAGTTTAAATTTCAATTCTGTCATTTGCTCCCTGCATGACCTTGGGCAAGTCACTTAACCTCTGTATGTGTCAGTTTCCTGATCTACGAAATGAGTAGGTTGGACTAGATGACCTTTAAGATTCTAGCTTTAAGCCTGTTAACTTTCCTTATCTGTAAGTCCCCTGTATTTCTAAAGAGGGGGTTAAATTGTTTGGAATAGCTTGTATGTCTGTTTTTTACTGGGATAGTTCTGTAGTTAACAATGTTGACGTATACTTAGTGTTTCGGGGCAAGAGAAAACAAATTTAAGAGACTACGTACAAAGTATGGAGAAATATATTAGAACTGTGCTTTTTAAAGATCTCTCTGTCCTACCAACCGTGAGGTTGCCACCCTGTTCTTTCATGGAGTTTCAGAGGCTGCTTTGCTGCTCATGGATTTTTTGAGAGCATCTTTGACATCCTTGTTCCGTAGTGTGTAAATGAGAGGGTTAAGCAAGGGGGTAACAAAGGTGTAGACCAAGGCAATCTGTCGATCCTCATCCTCTGAGGTGCTGGACCTGGGACGCAGATAGACTAGGCTACAGCAGCCATATTGCAGCAGGACCACTGTGAGATGGGAAGAGCAGGTGGAGAAGGCTCGCCGGCGGCCTTCAGCTGAGCGGATGCGCAAGATGGTGGTGGTGATGAAGACATAAGAGATGCAGATAAGCAGGAATGGGACAGTCAGTACAAGGATTCCTACCACATAGAGGACAGCCTGGTGAACTTGGGTATCAGCACAGGCCAGGCGTAGGACAGGTGGTACATCACAAAGGAAGTGGTTGATCTCCTGGTGGTGACCACAGAAGGGCAGGGTGAAGATCAATGCTGTCAGCTGAAGGCATAGAAAGAGAGCCAGGCCCAGGGAGCCAACCACCATCTGGGTACACAGCTTCTGCGTCATGATGAGGGTGTAGTGCAAAGGATGACAAATGGCCACATGGCGGTCATATGCCATGACAGCCAGTAGGAAACAGTCAGTACTGCCAAGGGTGACAAAAAAGAACATCTGGGCCCCACAGCCAGCCAGTGGGATGGGTTTTTGGGCTCCAAAGATGTTGGAGAGCATTAACGGAACCACAGTAGTGGTGTAACAGATCTCCAGAAAGGACAGGTTGGATAGGAAAAAGTACATGGGGGTACGGAGGAAAGTGTGGGTGCACACAACCCAGATGATGGCAGTGTTTCCACAGAGGATCATCACATAAAGGAGGAGAAAGAGAAGGAAGAGGAGGGCCTGCATCCTAGGGGAAGAAGTAAACATCCGGAATACAAATTCAGTGGGGCCAGACTGGTTGAGATGGATAAAGTTGGGAAGAACCATCTTACCTGCTAAAGGAAAATATAAAATCAGGGGGAGTTACTGATTTATCTAAATAAAATCAGCAACCGAAAGTTTCGTTTTCATTATTTCTCTGCATTTGTCACAGTAGAGGCTAATTTGATTGAGGAAAACTTCCCCCCTCCCTTCAGTTTGGTGATTGGAACGGATTCTCCCTGACCACACCTGTCTCCAACTCCTGGGACATCTCAGGACGTCATCACTTGAGGTCCCTGTACCTACTCTCATCCCTTTTCTTCCATGAGGATAGAGGAATCCCAAAGGCTCCCTGTTCAAAGTGACCTGTTAGTTCAGAGATAAAAAGTTCAACTCATGAGGGTTTTAAAGTAGGTCTCATTTCCATGAGGCTTTTTCTTCTTTGCAAAGCTAGAAAGCTTAAAAATGGAGATAATTAATCAAATTAACCTAAAGCTTTGAGCCCCTAATATTCTTTAATAACCAGCCTAGGAATGTAGTTTCCTGGCTAGGTAAGTTTGGTATAATTAACTATTTATTTTCTCCTTGATCTCTATAGAAAAGATGTTAATTCAGGATACAATATAATTGTCCTCATCTAGAAAAGCTGTCATCAAGATTTAAACACATTGGAAAATTTAAAAGAATGAAGAAACAGTGGCAAGCAATGATCCAAGGTGGCATGTGGCAATGAAACAAAGAAGCAGAAAGAAGAGGGGACTCAGCAGCATTCTGGAGGCTTCTCCAAGTTGGCACAGTTTTTTCACTCCCTGCTGGGTTATCTCAATATGATTCCTGGCAAGCTGTGGAAAAGAAAAGGTGAAGCTGATGCAAGGCTTAGAGTCAGTCTCATGGAAAGTGTTCTCCATCTTCCAATACTGCCTGCTGCTCACTACTATTGCTCTTTGTCCCGCCTCACCATCTCTGTCTCTCTTGTGTCTCCCACAGAGAGATTTTTAAAACTCACTGCAATGAAAAAAAAAAAACAAGACAAAATAAAACTCTGCCCTCCATTTTCAATCTCATTGATAATTTCATCATTTTACTATCTGTGAAAACTATAATACCCATTGTCATTGGGGAGTTAGCCTCCACATCAAGACAATCCACTCTTTCTGAACCACTATTATCTTAGGGTGTGATCATACCATTTCAGACTTCAAGGCCCGGTTAAAGTCATTTTGGCTCATCATTTCATCTCTCTGGGTCTTAGTTATCCTTATTTATATAAGGAAGGGCTTGGCTTAGATGACCTCCCTAATTTGTTCTAGTTCTAACAGTCTGTCATATTTACTAAAGTTCCTTTCAGCTTGAAGATTCAAAGTTCAAGTTCTAGGGTTCATTCCAACTTCTGTGGAAACCATTGTCCCACTCTCATTTTATGTTCGAAAGTTCTTAGTTCTGAATCCTGTGTTCAAAGGCATAACCTGGTTCTGACATTCTATATTTCATGTTTTGAAGTCCTTTTGAACTCTGACAGCCTACATTACCTCCTATGGCATGACAATATTATGCTGTAGAAATGGTTGAGTTAACACTTCTCTGGAAGAGGTTTTATTCTTCCACAGTAACATTATGGTGCCTAGCAATATAAATATATAGTTTTAGGTAGATAACTATTCTGTAAGCTCCAAACCTGAAGAAAAAAGAAGAGGAGGAGAAGAAAGAGGAAAAGAAGCGAGATGAGAAGAACAAGAAGATGAAGAACAAGAAAAAGAAGGAGAAGACAAGGAAAAGAAGGAGAAGTATGTCAGCGATGATGATGATGATGGCAGGAATTGACAAGTGGATAATGTCAGGAGAAGGTAGAAGAGAGAGAGAGAAAAAAAGGAAGGAAGAAGTAAGAGAAAATAAAAGAGAGGAAAAAAGCAGAAGAAAGGTAGTTATTTGAACTAATATTGGTTATGTACCACCATGCCTAACAGTTGCACACTTTTTATTGAAGCTCTGAAGGGCATAAATGAATTGAAAATATCATAAAATCTCAGGGTTAGAAGGGACCTTAGAAATCACTTAGTCCTACCCATATATGAATGTTTCACTCTACAATATACCTTTCAAGTTGTTCTTGAGCCTTTGCTGAAGGACTCTAGTAAAGGATGAATGGCTACCTCCAGAGGCAATCCATTCCTTTTTAGGATAGCTCTAATTCTAAGAAAGATCTTTTTAATCCCTTGTAGTTAGCACAGTGCCTGGTTTATTGACTATTGGCTATTGTACGATAAATTTATTTCTCTCCATATAGAATCTAAGAATGATGGATAGGCACCTAAATCTGGTAGGAGCCTGGCATTTCTCTTTTGAATGAGGCCAAACACATCTAAATAAATTGACCTGATTATCTTGGAATAGGATTGTAGATCACACCCAGGAGAAATGGAGGCAGTGCTAATATTCCCACAACTCATAAAATCTCTGTTTAATATATAGGGCCAAAGATAGAGAAGAAATGACTGAAGGTGCCCCAGTGTTTGTCTTCAAGTATTTGAAGTGCTGTCCTGTGGGAAAGGGATTAAGCTTTATTTATTCATTTATTCATTTAATTATACAATCATCCAATTATCTATCTATCTATCTATCTATCTATCTATCTATCTATCTATCTATCTATCTATCTATTAGTGAGGCAATTGGGGTTAAGTGACTTGCTCAGAGTCACACAGCTAGGAAGTATTATGGGTCTGAGGCCAGATTTGAACTCAGGTCCTCCTGACTCCAGGGCCGGTGCTCTATCCAATGTGCCACCTAGCTGCCCCAGAAAGGGATTAAGCTTGTTTGGGTCGTCCCCAGTGGAAAGAACTGGGATCAATGGGGGAAAGCTACAGAGAAACTGATTTGAGAATGGAAAATGGAAAATCTTGCTGATAATTGGAGCTGTCCCAGAGTGTAATGGGCTGCTTCTAGAGACTGCAGGTCTTCATCACTGATCATTTGTTAGAAACATGGTAGAGGAGATTCCTGCTCCAACATGGACTAGACAAGATGACCTGTAAGGCCTCTTCCAATATGGATATGTTGAAATTCTGTCAAGTAACCAAATACCATTATGCCTTGAATAAATCCTAGAACATTCATAAAACCATAGACATGTGTAGAAATGTCCTTGAAGAGGAAACTGAGGCACAGAGCAGGGGACTTTTCTGGTGCTGTGGCATGAAGTCTGTCTGGGTTTACTTAATCATTGAATGAACAAACATCTATTGAACATGATTATGTGCCCAGCAGTGTACATGGTACTTTGGGGGATACAGAGAAGTGGGAGATGTGGGCCTTGCCCTTAAGTAACCAGAGTCATTGAATGTAAGAGCTGGAAGGGACCTTAAAAAGTGTTAAGTCTACCACCCCTTTAATTTCACAGATGAGAAAACTGAGGCAGATAGGTGGTTAGAATGCTTGACTTAACAGTCCAGGAGACCTGAGTTCAAATCTTGCCTCAGACTTTTACTAGCTATATGACTTATGGGTAATCTAACTAACCTCTCCAAGCCTCAGTTTTCTCATTTCTAAAAAAAAAGGTAGGGTTGGGCCAGATGGTCTCTAATGGAACTTCCAGTTCTAATTGAAGTGGAATGAATTATTGCCTAATGTCACATGGGAAGTTAGCTGCAAAATTGCTTTTAGATCCCACATCTCTCCATTCTAGGGAGTGTCCTGTACTTCAGTTTATGGTATACTTTGTGAGATAATACTGATACACCTGAGCTATTGAAGCATGTTTTAGAAGATGGAGGTTCTGAGAACTGGATTCCATGGCAATGAATCCTCCAATATAATATGTGGGAGTAGCTCCAACTGATCTACTTTTTTCCATCTTTAAACATCATTTTTTTTATTATTGTGAACCTAATAACCATCAATACCACAAATACTGTAATATGCAAAAATAAGAAAGAGGATGTGTAAGAAATTGTGAATTCTGTAACAATTAGCCTTTCAGAAGCATACATGTATATACACAATTGCATAAGTTCTTATAAAAATTTCTCTGTGTTCTCTTCTGCTGTTCTTTTTCATTTATTCTGTGAATTTCAAATCTTTCCTTGATGCTCTTTTTTTTCCCCACATTCTCTGTCACTGCCCATTAACCTACTGACTACTGACTCCCCTCCCCCCAAAAGGAGCCTTCCTTTGTTTCAAACATGGACAGTCTAGCAAAAGAAATGACTGGTATTGGCCATATTTGGGAAAGCATATCTTTGGACTTTATTGATGTCAAAGATCCCTGTTGCCTCTAACAATCTATGCAATCCATGACATACTCCAGAATGAGGGCTGAGTAGCTAGGTTAATTTATACACCCTTCAACGATGACCCCTGAAAAGCCCGTTAGAATGAAAAGCATACTGGATTTGAAGCCAGAAGCCCGCAGTTGACTGTATTTTCTTGGGCAAGACACTTTCTTTCACTGGGATTCAGTTTTCTTCTTTGTAAAATGAGAGGGTTTGGACTGAATTATCTCTAAGGGACTTCCCCAGCTCCAAATCTGGGATCTGAAGTCATACAAGTAAATGAAAAAGAAGCAGTGAAATTACCTCCTCTTACCTCCTTCCAGTGTCTCTGAATCCATCAGCCAACTAAGGAAACACTGATCAGCAGTCTGCTTTTGTCCTGAGATACGCCTGTGCCAGTCTACAGCAGAGTTCAGTTACTCTCTTCCTTACTTCTCATTTACTTAAATGGAATTATATTCCTTGACTTTTAAAGGGTACAGTGATTGCTAGAAAGAGATATCTGCCTAGTGGGTATTCCCCCTTCCTTTACTCTCTGGCCAGATCTCATAGAGCTGCAGGTGGGAACAGATTCTGGTATCCTTCCCTACATAAGGGTCTTGGAGTAGAGACAGCTTTAAGGTATAGTGGTCATGTGTGCTATGGATACTTTCTAGATTGAGGTTCAAGATGCTTCTGCAATATGAGGAAACCCAAATAGGGTAATCCCCATTGACTCCATTCACAATCTAGTCATATTCTTCTTTAATCAGGTTATTTACTGTCCTGTCTCAGGTCTGTCTCAGGGGAATGGGTCCCTGAAGCAGAGGGGTTTGGGGAAAACTTTGTGAATTGGGGATAACTCAGATGAGGCTAATGGACATTTGGATCTCTATGGGCTTGTTCAGTGGACATCCCAACTGGAGCCTGGAGACCAGTAGGAGAGAATCTTACTCTCGTTGCCCTCTCTTTTTTTCTTCCCTCCATCAGGGACTTTGGTTGTCTTCTAGTAAATTTCTCCAGGGGGAAATGGCTAAGCCACAATTTTATACCAACTTATGAGGGATGTGACTGAAGGGGGGAAAATTTCAGTTTTCTCAAGTGAAAAAAAGTCAAAAATTCTAAATAACAAAAAAATTTTAAAGTGTTTCCCATGACAAAGATTGAACCTGGTGCTGAAGATATAGGGATAAAATGTAACACAGTAGCTCCTTTCAAGGAGTGCCTACTCTTTGGGGAGTGGGAGAGTAAGAGATTTACAAGGAGAAGTATGGTACAAAAGGGAATGATTGTGGCGAGGGGAATATCCAGAGAAAATGCTCCAGAAAAATATGAGGAGGGAAAAATTACTTCCAGCTGAGAGGATCAGGAAAAGCTCCAGTGAGTAGATGGCGCCTGATATGGGTCTTGGAAAATGAGCATTAGTAATAATTGTAGCTCATATTTATGTAGTCCTTCAAGGTTTGCAAAGCATTGTAATATGTTATCTTATTTGATCCAATCAATTATCCTGTGAAGTAGGTACTATTATTATTTCAGTTTTATAGAAGAGGAATTGTGGCAGAAAGAGTTAAGTGACTGGTCAGGAGTTACACAGCTAGGAAATATCTGAGGCTGGATTTGAACTCGGGTCTTCCTGACTCCATAGCCAGTACTCTATCCATTGGACAACCAAGGTCACTTCTCTAGCACACCTGGTTGATGTGGTTAGTTCCCAGGTGCCTCAACACATTGGGGTGGACAGAGAAAATTGCATTCTGGAAGCCAGAACATCCAAATTCTAGACCTGAGGTGACCCTGCCGATGAAAGCGGAGAGGCTGACTTTGAATTAAACATGGGAGACCTTCTGAAGTCACAGATAGGTGGGGAAATGTTGGCATGCCAGCACATCCCTTCCTTACCAGGACTGATTGAAATCATTAGGGTGCCAACTTTCCCCATCTCTGTGATTTGAAGGGGTCTAGGTAGAATAAATAGTATTTTAACTACAAAACCTGTTTTGAAACAGAGAAAGATAGCAAATCTTATTAAATTGTCTTAATGCAAAATTATGGTGATGGGCCCCAAAATTTGGCAAATAT